CTGCAGGAGGCCTGTCGTCGAGGCATTATCCATCCTCCTCTCTACCTGCCAGTCCTCTTGTCCAGTCTTCTTTGTGTTTCAAAGTGAGTTGCAGACACAAGCCTCGTCTGTAGTTTAGCGTGCATGTCATTGTCTAGAGTTCAGTGTTGAGGTTATTTATTTTGAGGTGGGGATTCACTCTGTCCCCCAGGGTGGAGCGCAGCGGCACGATCGCGGCTCATTGCCGCCTCAGACTCTTGCATTCAAGTGATTTTCCTGCCTCTGCCTCCGAAAGTGCTGGGATTGCAGGTGTGAGTCACCATGCCCGGCTTGCTTATGGTTATTTTTAAAGGCTAAATGCACACACAGTGAAGAGCGCAATCCTAAGTGGACCATTCCATGAGTTCTGACTAATGAAGCCTAAACACCTATCAAGGATGTCACTGTCGCCCCCAAAACCTCATTGTGCCAGTCTCCAACACACTAGAGGCAACCACCTCTGGGAGTTTTTTCACCAAAGATTAGCTTGGCTTGCTCTAGAATTTCATATGAATGGCACCATACAGTGTAACCGGTCTCTTTCACTTAGAATAATGCTTTTGAGACTCATGGATGTCATGGTGTGTGTCAGTAACTTGTTCGGTTTTATTGCTGGGTAAGATGTCGCTGGATGGCACACTTATTTATCTACTCGCCCGTTGATGGCCATCTGGGCTGTTCCCTGTTTTCAGCTGTTATGAATATTCTCGTACATTTTTCCGTTGCGCCTAAATACCCGGGAGTGGGGAACTCCTTCGGGTCTCCTCCCACTGAGGGAGCTTTTCTTTCCTCCCAATAAATCCTGCTTTCTAAAAAGCAAAATAAAAGAAAACCCAGGAATGGAATAACTGGGTTAGGGTAGACATGTGTTGTTTTCTGAGGCATTACCCGACCCTTTCCTGATGAACAGGATGTTTTTTTAGCTGCTTCTCCCCCCACCCCCCACCTTTTAAACACAGATAGTAGCATGCACTATTCTGCCTCTTGTTTTTGTGTTTTTCCTTGACAGTATATCTTGTAGATTTTTCTTATTATAGAAAGAATGTCCTCCTAGGCCAGGCCCGGTGACTCACGCCTGGAATCCCAGCACTGTGGGGGTTTGAGGCAGGAGAACTGCTTGAGTCCCGAAGTTCAAGACCAGCCTAGGTAACATAGTGAGACCTGGTGTCTACGAAAATATAAAACAAATGAGCCAAACATGCTGTAGTCCCAGCTGCTGGGGAGGCTGAGGCAGAAGGAACACCTGAGTTCAGGAGTTGAAGGCTGCAGGGAGCCATGACTGTGCCACTGCACTCTGGCCTGGGCCACAGAGACCCTGCCCCCCCCCAAACAAGGTTCTTCTATTTCCTTTCCACAGGTGGGAGGCACTGTAATGTGTCCAGTCCCCTTCTGATGGGCATTTACGTGCTTCCAGCCTTATTAAACTGGGCTTTGAGGGGTGAACAGGAGCTTGCCAGGCAGACAGCAGAGGGAACAAGGCTTGCAGGTTGGGCAGACACTGCAGAGCCTCAGTGGTCAAGGCATGGGCTTTCCGGGGAGCCCATGGGGTCCCATCATGCTTGTTGGACGGAAAGGAGTTGGCGATGGGGCCCTGAAGGGCTTGGGGCAGGGGCGCGCGGTGGGCACCCCTGAGATGCTCTTGAAGCAGGGCTGCCCATCGTGCGCCTCTGCCCCAAGCCCCAGGTGTCGGAGCCCAGGCTGGTGGGCTTTTGCGGACTCTTGGACGGGACCACATGCCTGTCCCCCGGCCTTCAGGAAGCCATGCTCTTTCCGGGCCATGGCTGACCCCTCGGGACTGAGATGGCTCACCCCAGTCTTGCCCACTGCATGGGGGCCTCCGGGAGACTCCTCCTGGCCTGGCTAGGACTCAAGGCCAGGAAAAGCCCAGCAGAAGCCAGCTAGGTGAGGGGTATGGGGTTAGGCAAGGAGGTCCTGGTGAAGTGCACTGGGGGCTGGAACAGGGGCGCCCCCTAAGCCACGGGCAGGCATCCCTGCCGGGACCCAACCAAGGACAAGGAGCAGCTCCCGGGTGGTGTTTCTCTAGACTCCTCGTTCCTTGCCCAAGCCGGGCCCCAGCAGAGGTACCTGCAGGCAGGCCTGGGAGCCAACAGGAGCTTAGGGTAAGAAGAGAGCCTAAGGATGTGTCTCAGCTCTGCTGCTAAGTGACTGCGACTTTTGGCTACACGCCTTTTGCCTGGGTCTCCGTTTCCTCACCTGCCAAATGGACTGGCACGGTGCCCAACCCACAGGGACACAAGCAAGCTTTGCCACTGCTGCATGGGCCCCTGAGCACAGAGAGAAGCTGAGGTGGAGAGGCAGGGCGGCACTGCCTGCCATTTCTGGCCACAGGTGGCTGCTTGAACGTGGTTCCTTCTGCTCAGAGGAGGCTGGGGCAAGACACAGGTACAGCCCAATACCCCAGGCAGCGAGAGGAGGCCCAGTGCTTCCCTGACTTGCGTTTCAGGGCTGGGCTTATCTGGAGCCCTCTCCTGTGGCCAGTAGGTGCAGAGGGAACGCAGGCAGACCTGGCATACATCTGTGCGCCACGGTTCTGAGGTATGGCCTCTGCAGGGCCAAGCCCACATCTGGCCGTCAGGTGACCCCAGAGGGACACCCTGCCCTGGCCCACACTGCTCCGAAACCAGGATGCTCCAAGACAAGACTGAAGACGACAAGGAACAACAAGGCCAGGGCCCAGCTGAGGAGCTCTGCCCACCTGTCCCTTGAGTCACGCGGCAGCAGGCCAGGGTGGTGGGGTGGTGGGCGGGGGGGGCCTTGTCCAGGACCAGGACGAGTCGAGTTGAGTGTGGCCCGGCCCCTGGCTAAGTGGAGACAGAAGACTCCTGGGCACATTCTAGGATCCACGTGATGCTGGGATCCGGCGCTGTGCAAGACCCCTGTGGCTCAGCTATAGGCTTGGTCCGAGGCCATTATGCCAGCCATACGCCAAAGGCCAGACTCAACGGAGCAGTGAAACACCCTGTACCCAGCCCGAGGCCTTGACAGCCACTCCGCCTTCCTGGGAAAGCCCTGGAGCAGCTGCGCCGCTGGCCCAGCACCAGGCTCCTGCTGCTCTATCACCGGTGCTCCACTTCACCACAGATACTGAGCACCAGGCTGCCACCACCGACCAGGAAGAAGGCAGTTTTTCGGGCCAAATGCCTAAGGAGAACTTCCCCCAGGTGTCCCAGCCAAGCCTTCGACACACCTCAAGTTGCACTCAAGGCTTCGGCTTCACTGGACCTTTTGGGAATAAAACCCAACTTAAAACCAAGAGACCATGACCAAGCAGCTTGTAAAAAATTGCTTTATTTGTCACTTATTCACCTTATCTCAGTTATGCCATTTGGGCATCCACAGTGACAGTCCCCTGGAAGCCAGGGCCAGCCCCCTGCACCGGGACCAGCCTCGCAGGGCTCAGCTGGACGGTACAGGCTGCAGGCAGGACTGCAGGGCTCTTCCCGAGGCCCAGCACTCCCGGGGGGCTGGGGAGGCCCCGGCGCTGCAGTGGCGGAGGATGGGACAGTGGGAGAACCACGCAGTGTGACAGGGCGTCCGTCTCAGAGCCTCCCCTCTGCTCAGGACTGGGTCTAGACAAGGCCACGTGTGATAGGGTGGTTGAGCCCTGGACCATGGGCGAAGGCGCCTAGGGCCCATCGTGGTTCTGGGCTGACTTGCTGGAGGGCTTCAGGCAAGTCGCTTCTTGTCCCCTGGCTGGTCTGTTTCCTGATCAGCACTGCCAGGGAGGTGTCCTGGGAAGCCCCATCCTGGCTCGGAAACCGCTGTGTAATCAAGGCAGCAGCCCTGTGCTGTGAAGGCTGCCGTGTGCCTGTGTGGGTGTGGTGTCTCTCCCTACATGGCTGCACTCCCCCGTGGGGCTCCCTCCTCAGAATCGGGCCTCCTCCTGCAAGAACATCCTTCCCCACCAGCATCGGGAGGTCAGCCTGAGACCTCGAGCTCTCTCAGGATCTCCTTGGCAAACCTGCTGTCCCCGCCGCCAGGCAGTACTTGATAGGGACCTCCCTAGAGGCCTCGGAGGGAGCTAATCCAAGATCTAGGCCACCTGTCATCACAAACAGAACTCACTGCAGACGCAGCTTGAATACCCCCATACAGCAAATATGGGAGCAGCTTACCAAACGCTACGCTCTCCACACCTGACCTTACTCCTGATCTCGGTTTGCGCTCTCCCCTTTCTCCCTCTCTGCTGACGACACTGGTGAAACGAGAGGAGGCCGGTGACACCTGGTCATTTACCTGCTTGCATTTGGTCCTAAGTACAGTAAGAAAACTTTAAAAAAACGTCGAGTGGGAGGTGTTCAGCCTGGAAAATGAAGGGGGCTTGTGAACATCGAGTCCCTTCTCTCCAAGTCTGATTGTACCACAGTGACTCCCCTTTCCAGAACAGCCGTGAGGAGACACGGCCAGCGACGATGCCTAGCCCGACCAGGCTCAACATCATAAAGCTGACAACCCGGGTGGACTAAACATGGAGATACTGAGACAAGCGGGCTCCAAGCCCAACTGAAGAGTCCACAGGCACACAAACAAATTCACAGACGGCCAAGAGTGTCTTCCAGGAAATCCATCCCTTTCTTTTGGAAGAGGTTATCCTAAAAAAAACCCTACTTTTAAAATAAGGGGAAACAATGGTGTCTTACAGAGAAACAGTCCTGAGTCAGATATTCCCACCCCTACTTGTGAAGGAGACACGCTCATGAGGTTCCATGTCTCCAGAAAACATGTGCTCGGCCCCCAGCGTCATAGCCTACCGCTAAAACGAAAGACACCTCAGGGTTTGTGCTTCCAACCAGAGTAAGAGACGCCCTCTGTGGGGGAAGAGCTGAGACCGCTGCAGCCGCATGCAGCACTGAGAAGGTGCCAAGGTTCAAACAAAACTTACATGGACACTTGGGACCAGCGTTTGCCAGGCCCACCTCTCTGGCAGTCAGCTGAGCAGAACTTCACTGCTACAGTTCTTCTTGCCAATGCCAGAACAAAAGCAAAATTTCAAACTGGAAAATGTCTAGCACTTTACACAGTGGAATGAAAGAACACGAAATCCAAAAACGTCATCAGACAAAAGTCCACGAGCTGCAGCAGCACTCGCCACAATGGCCCCCTCCCGGCGACTTCCAGCGCACTTCCTCCCCCGGTCCCTGGGAGGCGGGCTTAGAAGAGAAGGGCGCCCATGCTGCCGACCTCGCTCTGCTCCTTCACGAAGATTTCAAAGTACTGGTAGATGATCGTGACCGCAAGCAGGATGCCAGTGCCAGACCCAATGGCGCCCAGGAAGTCAGCCAACACCGAGAGGGCACCAATACACAGCCCACCGAAGGCTGCAGCTGTAGGGATGTACCTGGGGGAAGGGACACAGTCAGTGCTGGACCACCTGCAGGCCCACCCCCAACCGCTTGGCACTCAGGGACTCAGGCCTCAGAGGCCCCCAGAACCTCATCTACTAATAGCCAGTGCTCGATGCTAAAGCTGTGTTGTCCCAGGAGTAGCCACAATGGCCACATGTGGCTAGTGGACTGTGACTAGTTAAAGTCTAGATGTCACACAAGATTTTATTTGAAGACCAGAACATAAAATATCTCATAATTGTTTTTCTCACATTAATTACAAGTCAAAATTCTTTAGATATACTGAGTTAGATAAAATATGTTAAAATTAATTTCCCCAGTTCTTTTTAGCTTAATGTGAGTTCTGGAAATTTAAAAAAATTACATGTGTGATATATTTCTACTGAACAATGCCATAAACCTAGTTATTAAGAGAATGAACTAACGTGCTTATTCTCCCTGCTAGGGATGAGCACACGATGTGAAATGTGCAATTGCGGCTCTTCTTGTGGTTGTTTCCTTTGGGTGAGGGGCTAGCAAGCTGCAGCCCACAGGGTAACCGGGTCTGCAGCCGACGTGGTAGGTAGTTGTAGGAACATGGCCATGCTCATGTGTCTGTGTATGTCTATGGCTGCATCTGAGTAGCAACGGATGAAATGAGCAGTTGTGACAGAGATCCTATGGCCCCCAAAGCCTAGAACACTCACTGTCACCACCCTGTTGCCCAAGAGGCGGCTCCATTTGTGACATACACATGCAGACCTCAGAGTGCTATGGAAGCATCCACGGCCACTCGGACTTTGCCCTTCCTCAGCCAGCTGCTCGCCAAGCCCTGGGGCCTCTTCTTTCCAAGCTCCCTCCTCTCCATCCCCAAGGCGATGACTGCATCTGGCCCCCGACATCTCTGCCCAAACTCTCAACAGTCCAGTAGGGCTGTAGTCTCCTTCTCTTCCTCCCTGATATGATCTCGTTTAGCAGCATAGACAGCCCTAAAAGACCACGGGCTCCAGCCCTTTGTCCCTGCTTCAAATGCCCATTAGTCCCTTCCATGCCCAGCTGCTGCTGGCCTCCCTAGCCTCACCGCCACCTCAGCCCCAGGACCCGCTTGCTCCAGGCTCACTGGCTGACCCTCCTCCTTGGTGCTCCTGTCAGCACCCACCAGCACGAGCAAAGGCGTGCGTTCCACTGGCACCTGTGCTTGAAGCTCTTGGAACCCCGATTGCAGCACTGCTTATCCTGGCCACAAGCCTCCATCTCCTTACCCAGGAGCTACCTCTTTGAGGAGAGGGCTGTAAGCATAAGTTTTGATATCACCAGCGGCTAGCACTTAGATAGTTAAAAAAAAATATTTAATTCTACCTTTTAACCCAAGGATAAGATTTAGTGAGCCAGAAAACCCTAAGGCCTATCAAGATGCTCAATGTGTCAGAAAACACACAGGTAGACAAATGGGAAGTCATGGATGCATGGCGAGCACTCACCGATTGAGTTCATGGACCATGGAAGTTTCTCGGTGGCCTCTCATGACCATTTGCTGCTCCTTCAGCTGCTTTGCAACCTACATGATGCCCACCAAGGAGAAGACATGATGCTCAGTTTTGAATTGGACACTGAAGGAAAGGAAGACATTTCCAGTGGCACTCCACAGATATAGATTTTCTTTTCAGCACTAGCAGTATTTATACGAGGGGGACTCAAAAAACCCCAGAATTTATTTAGCAGAAAGTATAGATTCATTCCTACACGTTTAAGCTTCAGTCACCTCCAAAGTGCTCTCCATTGATGCAATATACCTATCAAGACTTTTTTCTGGCCAGGCATGGAGGCTCAAGCCTATAATCTCAGCACTTTGGGAGGCCGAGGTGAGAGGACTGCCTGAGACCATGGGTTCAAGACCGGCGTGGGCAACATGGTAAAACCTTGTCTCTACAATAAATCAAAAAATTAGCTGGGCATGGTAGTGCGTGCCTGTAGTTCCAGTTATTTGGAAGCCTGAGGCAGAAGGATCGCCTGAGCCCAGCAGGTCGAGGCTGTGGTGGCCATATGTGCCACTGCACTCCAGCCTGGGCGACAGAGTGAGGCTCCAACTCAAAAAAAAAAAAGAAAAGAATAAAAAAAGACATGTTTCTCATTGCTCAAAACAGTTTTCGAACTTGTCAATTCTGATGCCTTTTAGTGCTTCTGCCATTTTTTGTTTCACCTCTTCCACATCAGTGAAACATTTCCCTTTAAGGACATTTTTTCATCCAGGGAAACAAAAAAAGGTCACTTGAGCCAAGAGTGGATGAATAGGGAGGACAGGGCACAGGGGTCATGCTGTTTTTGGTCAAAAACTGCTCAACACTCAGTGCGGTGTGGCAGGTGTGCTCATAAGTCACCCATCATGAAATGGGTAAACGCGTTCAAAGAATCTCCAAAAAAAACCAGCCAACTCACTGAAGTCGAACACAGCCTCTCACAACAACGCTAGCTGGCACACTGATTCTGATGGGTTCCTACAACGCTGACCTAGCAGGGGAGGCCTGTACTAACAAAGGGCCCACCCTCCAAAAATAATTGCAGTCTTTTTTTGGGATCCCCCCTTGTATCAAAAGCAATGACGTTATATGAATGTCTAACTTCACAGATTAGCCTCAGATTCTCAGACCTAGTGCTGACTTACTGTTGGGCTACATCTGCCAGCCTTTACAGCCTCCGAGCTGCTTCATGAAGGATGACCTGTCCGCATGTGTCACAAACCACTATTTATGAAGAGGTGACAAGCCGATATCCCTTATACCAGTAACAGTTTAACCATCCTCCTAGAAATTTGTACATATACTTACATCTTTGGCAGAAGAACCTGAGACCTCAATCCATGTTTTGGAGAAGAACGCACACGAACCCAGCATGAACACTATGTATACAACTGCATGCACAGGGTCTTCTAACACAGAACCGAAAGATTCTGGAGGGGACAGGTAATAGCAAAGGCCACCAACTGGATAAGCACGTGCTGGGCCCCCAGAAGAAGTATCCTGGGAAGAAGAAACAGAACACCTGTGAATGCTGCTTCATTACGCCTTAGCATCGAGACAAAACATAGTTCTGAGTAGATGAAAGATATAATTTCACCTAATTGCCTGAGTGTTTCACCTAATTTCACCTGAGTGTTATTTTATAACTGAAAAGAAAATGTGCTGAATTTTTAAAAGGCACAATTAGAAAATATCTTTGGGTGAAATATCTGATCATGACTGATGCAAACCACTGCATCAGTAGCCATATCACTACAAACGATTCTGTCTTAAAAGAGCCATACTCACCGACCAGGTGCCCAGCAGGCTGACCAGCAAGTTGCCACTGAAGCGAGCCGACAGCATCTGGGAGATGACATAGAGGTTGGACACCAGGGCGGACTGCAGGATGATGGGGATGTTGGAGGTGTAGAAGAGCTTGATGGGGTAGGTGTTGTACTGGCCGCGGTAGCGGGCAGACTTGATTGGTAGGTCTACTCGGAAGCCCTGAGAAGCCAAACAGAGAAAACTGTACCTTCACTGCCTCATCCCAGCCTCCTGCATAGGGACACAGGCCAGCTGGCGCCCAAAGTTGGGTCCACCAGGAGGGAGGTAGCTCCGGGCACTGGTTCCGGAGCTCCCAGTTCTGAGAACTCATGTCCTCTCCTTATCCACCTCTGCACTTGGGGTACACCCAGAAGGGTCCCAGAAAGACTAGGTTAAAAATGCACTGAAGCACAGCACAGTGGAATGATCCCATTTTTGCCAAAACACAAAGGCTACTCCATTATGTCCACACCTACGTGGAATATACAAAAAGCCGGGAAGGTCACACACCCAAATGCTAAGAGCAATTCTCTCCAGGTGGTGAACTTTCCTGAGCTTTTACACCAGCCCTAAGGCAGGGCCACCACAGCAGGGGCCTCACCCTTCCGAGCAGCCCTTGAGAGCATTTTTCATCATAAGTAAACAGAAAAGCTAAGTTTTTTTATAAATACAACATCTCCCACTGAAATCTTGGAGAATATAAGGGATTCTTTTATATCATTTTCATAAACTCCCAGGGCCTAGAACAGGGCTCAGAATACAAAGGATTTAAAAATAAATTCTTAGCCAGGCTCGGTGGCTCAGCCTGTAATCCCGCGCCTTGGGAGGCTGAGGTGAGTGGACTGCCTGAGCCTGCAAGTTCGAGACCTGCCTGGGCAACTTGGCGAGACCTCATCTCTACAATAAATAAAAAAATTAGCCAGGTGTGGTAGCGCACGCCTGTAGTTCCAGCTGCTTGGAAGGCTGAGGTGGAAGGATCGCCGGAGCCCAGCAGGTCGAGGTTGCGGTGGCCAGGAGCGGCCACTGCACTCCAGTCTGGGCGACAGAGTGAGACTCCAACTCAAAAATCAAACAAATAAATTAATTAATTAAATAAATTCTTAACAATCAACTGCAAATTCTTGTCAAGCCCCTAGAGAGTTAGCTTGTTATTATCTAGGTTTCTAACTAAAGGTCTCGGCAGAAGAACAAATTGATTTATTTGGTCCTCAGAAAAAGCATGTGGTTGGCTTAAATACCTTTCACAAACAGTAAACTGCCTTTTAACTCTGCCCTTTATTTTTAATGGACACCAAAATACAAGTGAACCATCAAAAAACATAAAGATCAGCTGGGAACGGTGGCTCACGCCTGTCATCTCAGCACTTTGGGAGGCCAAGACGTGAGGATTGCTTAAGTCCAGGAGTTCGAAAGCAGCCTAGGTAACATAGTAAGACCTAGTCTCTACAAAAAAATTTTAAAAATTAGCCAGGTATGGTGGTACACACCTGTAGTCCCAGCTACCTGGGAGGCTGAGGTAGAAGGATCACTTGAGCCCAGGAGTGGTGGGTGAGACACGAGTATGCCACTGTACTCTAGCCTGGGTGACAGAGTGAGACCCCAACTCAAAAACAAACCAAAACAAAAAACAAAAAAACCATCCCAAGCCGGGCTCAGTGGCTCAGCCTGTAATCCCGTGCCTTTGGGAGGCTGAGGTGAGTGGATTGCCTGAGCCCGCGGGTTCGAGACCCGCCTGGGCAGGCGAGACCTCATCTCTACAATAAATCAAAAAATCAACCGGGTGTGGTAGCGCATGCCTGTAATTCCCGGCTACTCGGAAGGCTGAGGTGGAAGGATCGCTGGAGCCCAGCAGGTCGAGGCTGCGGTGGCCGGAAGCGGCCACTGCACTCCAGTCTGGGCGACAGAGTGAGACTCCAACTCAAAACAAAACAAAACAAAACAAAAAAACCACCCCAAACTCCCCACCAAAAAGCAAAGATCAATTCTATTACAGGAGAGCAACTAGCAGTTCAGGTCTCTTTTTCAGAAGTAAAAGGGATTAATAATTTTAAAGGAAAGCACTATCAAGAGGAAGAGCCTTTTCTAAGAAGATACTGCTTGCAAATAGTCTACAAATGTTGGGTAAGACATCAATGGGGTTTTAGAACTTGGCTGCTCTTCTCTCTTAAACGAAGAACTTAAAAACATATCGTCTTTTTTTTTTTCTTGAGTCAAGGTCTCACCCTGTTGCCCAGGCTGGAGTGCAGTGGCACAACAACAGCTCACTGCAGCCTTGAACTCCTGGGCTCAAGCGATCCTTTAGCCTCTTGAGTAGTTGAAACTACAGGCATTTGCCACCATGCCTGGATGATCATTTTATTTTAAAGATGCGTCTTATCTACTAATAGGCCCAACCCAAAATAACATGATTTTATCAATGTTAGAACTGCCTCAGTTTTGTTTAGTGGGCAGATCCTCATGACTCAATGAACATGTTTGTCCAGTTCACCTGGAAACTTGCTCCCTTCAAATGCCATCTCATCATTTCAGTATATGATGACATGTGTGTCACCCAGGGCAGGAGCGGTACACACTAAAGCCTGAACTTAAATGCAGACCATTCAAACAACCTGGGTCAGATTTGGACGCACCTGAAAATAGATGACCACTGCAAAGACAAAGATGGTGGCGATCAGATTCATAAGGTTGGGGAGATTCTGGCGGTAAAATGCCTCCCGGAGGGCTCGGACTTTATCAGTGCGTGTGGCCAGCAAATGGAACAATGCGATGATGGCACCTTCAAATTCCATTCCTGTTGGCCAAGGAGGGACAGATGTGGTGAAGGAACAAACAAGTAACTCACTTTGCGTCTAGGCTTATTAGCAGACAAAATAAGAGCGAAAGACAGTTTGTTATAAGATGCACAGTGTCTACTCCTATAGCCACGGGAATACAGTATGGATTCTTCTAATCCATTCCTATTTCTTCTATAGAGAATTCAAACTATAGAAATAGGCTATTTGCTGAGCAGGGTGGCTCATGCCTAAAATCCTAGCAGTTTGGGAGACCGAGGTGAGAGAACTGCTCAAGCAGTTTGAGACCAGCCTGGGCAACACAGCAAGACCTCATCTCTACAAAAAGTAAAAAAAAATTAGTCAGGTATGGGGGCACATGCCTGTAGTCCCAACTATTTGGGAGGCTGAGGTGGGAGGATCACCTGAGCCCAGAAGATTGAGACTGTGGTGGCGAGCAGGTAATTGTGCCACTGCACTCCAATCTGGGGAACAGTGTGAGACCCTGACTCAAAAAAAGAAAAAGAAAGGAAGGAAGAAACAGACTATTGTACTTTTTTTTTTTTTTTGAGTCAGAGTCTCACTCTGTTGTCCAGGCTGGAGTGCAGTGGCACACTCACGGCTACTGCAGCCACGAACTGTAGGGCTCAGGCGATCCTTCCACCTTACCCTTTCAAGTAGCTGGAACCACAGGCGTGCACTACCACACCTGGCTAATGTTTTGATTTACTGTAGAGATGTCTCACCAAGTTGCTCAGGCTGGTCTGGAAACCCTGGGTTTGGGTAATCATCTCGCCTTCACCTCCCAAAGTGTGTGACCCACCACACCTGGCTTTATTCTACTTTTTAAAATTAATTGGTCTCATTTCTTAGACATGAGGCAAAGACCACCATATCATCATGGAACACCAATTAAAAAATACATAAAAGTCATGTCTGATGAACTCTAGCTGGAAGGGGTCTTACACTGAAGGGAGACTCAGAGATAACAAGTCCACTTCCCTGGAAAATCCCAGAAGTACAAGCATCCATTCAGTGGCTGTGAAGCGTAGGCTGCTCTTGGCCAGGGGGCACTCCAGCTCTCTGCTTCTCACACTGACTGTACAAGGAGAGAGGATGACACACTCATGCCTACCACATGGCAGGGGTCAAGATGGATCATACCCTGCCATGGAGATGCTGCTGAAAGCAGGCCTAGTGCCAGAGTGAGCTTCCTGAGTTAAAACAGGAAGAAAGGGGGCCCAATCTGAGGATCAGGCAACAGAGGGACAAGTCAGAGGAAGAAAGCTGGGGAGCATGGCACATTATTGAGGCCTAGAAGCTTTAGAAATTGCCAAAAAATTTACTTAAGTTAAAAAAATAGGAGAGTCCAAAGGTAGTGAGTTAGCTCAACTGACTGTTCAGTTAGCTACACACAAAACTCCTTGTTCTACTTTCTTCACCTTCTTCTCACCCTTCCATTTGACTAGTCTAAAAAATAAATAAATAAAAAGCTAAAGTAAGAAACAAGAATACTATATCACTATATAACATTTGCTGTCTAGGAAGATGTGATCACCCCATAACAGAAGTCTGGCAACTCGTGCTGCTTTTGCTGGCAGGAAGTGTCCAGAGTCATGCTATCTGTGGGCAGTGTGGGGTCATGGTATCAGTACTCTGAGGTGTACCAAATATTGTCCTGGGATAGTATTTTTCTCAGCTTCCTAACCTGTGATAGCTAGGATGGCCTGCTGCTTCCAGAACTACTGAGATGATATGCCAGACAGCTATCTAGCCCGCATCACCACTGACCTCCCTGGCACCTCCAGGACCTGGCTTCTAGGAGAGAAAGTCTGTCCTAACTTCTTCATCTCACCCTGTGGCGGTCTTCTGTCAGTTCCCACTGCCTCTACCTTTTGGTCATGTGTGAACACACTGACCTGTGTCTCTACTGTATGGAATTCAGGAATGATTCCCAGCCCAGCTGTTCCCACTCTCCAGGGAAGCAGCAGTGATTACTCGCTCAGCCTAAGAGGGCTCTGCAACAGCCTCAGTCCTCTGCCCCAAGCCAGGCGGCGGTAGAGCTCCAGGTCCGCTATGAGGCTCCCGGGCCGTTGTGCCTCCAACACTCTCTTCCTGCCCCTCCCTTGGCTCTCCCTCCAGTGCCACCCCCTGCCCAGGGTAATCACCCTGCCCGAATGCATCTCCACTCCAGTCAGGTCCCAAACACGAACAACTGACATCAATTCAAAGCTGGAGACAAACCCACCTTTGCTTCTCAGTTTTCTACCACTTTCACAAAGCTTCCTTGCCCTGTCTCTTACCTGCTTTCTCCCAATGCCCTCGTACCACACCTTCCTGCAGGCTGGTTTCCCAAGACCAGATTACTACCGCACTTACAGTGCAAAGCAAATCATTCCTTCTAAAAGCAAATCATTCCTTCTAAACTCTGACTCCCATCACTCACCCTGCTCCAGAAAGGAACATAAATTTTCGGCTGGCTGCAGCCAGATTTCCGAACCCCCATTGACTACCCACCTTGACCTCCTCTCTAATGTCACTTCTTCTAACTCAGTGGTTCCCTCAAGGCCAGTTACCATAATGGTCTTGCTAAACACCCCAACTCCTACAACACTTTTAACCTCCTGCCTTTTCATTTCCATCCCTGCAAAATCCTACCTTCCAGCCCCTTGTTTCTCCTAATTTGCCTTGGAATTCCTCAAGTTAGGAGTTCAGGAGTTCCTAACTCTTCTCTAGGGCTTTCTTTTGTAGTCTGTTAGGCATAGGCAAACTTCATTTGTCCAGGGTCCAGTTTCCCACATTCAATTAAAAAACAAAACAAAGCCGGGCTCAGTGGCTCAGCTTGTAATCTTGTGCTTTGGGAGGCTGAGGTGAGTGGATTGCCTGAGCCCACGGGTTCGAGACCCACCTGGGCAACTTGGTGAGACCTCATCTCTATAATAAATAAAAAAATTAGCTGGGTGTGGTAGCGCACACCTGTAGTTCCAGCTACTTGGAAGGCTGAAGTGAAAGGATCACCAGAGCCCAGCAGGTCAAGGTTGCAGTGGCCGGGAGCAGCCACTGCACTCCAGTCTGGGTGACAGAGTGAGACTCCAACTCAAAAAAAACAACAACAAAAAAAACCCCCACAAAAAACACTCAAAGGAACATAACTATTTCTCACGGAACTCTACTGAGTGAATAACATATTTAGTGTTAATAAAAGTGAACTTCCTTTTCCTAATAAATCTAACTATAAGGTTTTCCTTGTGTGTACAGAAATATTTATTAAAAACATCCTCTCATCCTGTTATAAGATTTCCATGGTGCTTAGTGGATACAACAAAAGTATACCAATGTTGTTCATCGCAGGACTTATTTAGTAATTTCATTTTTAGAAACTTATTCACTGACAGCAACTAGCAAAATATACAAAGATGAGCGTATGAGGATGTTTACTGTTTCAATTTTAATAACAAAGAAGCTGGAAGTGGCTTAATGGTGCTTTATCTTTGCAACGAAAGTTCATGTTGTGCTAAGAAAAATGAGGCAGGATTATGTATTCCATGAAACAGTCTTGTATCAAAAATTCAAGTTATCAGTATGAGTATAAGCCTATCTGTGTTTTAAGAAACTTTGCAGGCTGGGTGCAATAACTCACATATGTAATCCCAATACTTTGGGAGGCTGAGGGGGGAGGATTGCTTGAGGTCAGAAGTTTGATACCAGCCTGGGCAAGAAAGTGAGACCTCCATCTCTATAAAAAATAATAGTAAAATTAAAAAAAAAAAAAAAAAAAAGAAACTTTGAAGATGTACACAGAAAAAGTAGAAAAGATAAACCTAAAACTGACATAATTTTTTGGTGAAACAGGGAAAATTTTGTTTTTTCTTTGCATGGGTCAATACATTTTGCTAAGCTGTCACCAGGAGAGCCCAGGACACTTACCTCGACCAGTGTTGACGGTGGTGGGGCTGAATGCCTTCCAAACAATGGTTTCACAGATATTAGTTGCAATGAAAAGGGAGATACCAGAGCCCAGGCCATACCCTTTTTGCAGGAGTTCATCCAAAAGTAGGACAATTAAGCCAGCAACAAAGAGCTGTAAAAATAAACACAGGTAAAGAAACACAAATAGACTGTGTTATTGTTCCCCATGGACATGGTTCTGTCCTTCTTCAGTAATTGAATTCTCTGATATAAATGCTGAAGGGTGAGTGAGAGTGCATCCTCAGTCACAGACAGTAGTTAGTAGAGCCTTCCTTGGCTGAAATTGAAGACCAAATCCAGGGTCTTTGGCTTCTACTCAGCAAGAGTCCCTTCTATGCATGGTTGAGATTTATTACTTGACAGTGGTAGGTGTGACAGGCTACCCAGAAGGAAGACTGTTAGCACAATTACCTGAATGGTGATTAACAGGCAGATTCCAGCACCCATTTCAGAAGGGTCCCCATACATTCCCGTCATCACATACACGATAGACTGGCCAATAGTAATGATCATGCCAAACACTAGGATCAAAAGAAAACTGTGTTCTCAAAATGGGAGATTACACAGAGCAGAGAAAACAGTTATTGAGTACCTATTCAATGCCAGGCACTAGAGAGAACAAAGATGAAAAACAGTGATATTGCTCCCAAGGAGCTTGGTTGAGGAAACATCAAACAACCCTATTATCAAAGTACATGACAACTCAAATGGCTTTTAACGAAAGCATGCTTGCTCTTTAGTTTCATCTCTTCCTAAATCCATCTTCCTTTTAGTAATGAGAGTAGTAAAAGAGTGAAACATGGCAAGTCTGACTCTTGTGAAAGGCAAATCAGAGAGTAGAATCTACTCTGGACAACATCTGGAGAGACGCAACATGGAGATACTGTCACCTGCAGCGCCCATATTCAGTGCTGGGCACATGGGGTCTGTGTGGCTCATGAGCTGAACTCTACATCTGGGCCATCTCCATGGGCTCATCATGCAGGTCTGAGTCCAGAACACAGAATACTGACTTTGGAATAAAGTACCATCGCTTTGATTACTGTTATCATTTCCTCTGCTACTGAGCTCTTCTGGTCTATAGAAGCCTTCGTTTTTGTAGCCTGAATTTATTTCTTGTATCTCTATGTTTCACAGTTAGGCAATGGAATCAACACATTTTGTTGGTTCCACAATACTAGATGGATTGGGCTTCAGTGTCAGTTTTTCTACTTAGTGTGTCATGCAAAATAAAGTTTTACTCCAAAATGTCTAGCAAATATAGTCCCTATGTGACTTCTTAAAAAGTGTTCCTTGGCTGGGCTCGGTGGCTCAGCCTGTAATCCTAGCACTTTGGGAGGTTGAGGCGAGTGGATTGACTGATTACGGGTTCAAGACCAGCCCAGGCAACCTGGTGAGACCTCGTCTCTACAATAAACAAATAAAAAAAATTAGCCGGGTGTGGTAGTGCACCTGTAGTTCTGGCTATTTGGAAGGCTGAGGTGGAAGGATTGCTGGAACCCAGCAGGTCAATGCTGAGGTGGCCATGCGTGTGCCACTGCACTCCAGCCTGGGCAACAAGAGTGCAACGCCCATTCAAAAAAAAAAAATTAATTAAATAAATAAAAAATAAAATAAAATAAAAAGCACTTCTTAGCACTGAATTTTTTTTTTTTTTTTTTTGAGTTGGAGCTCCTGCAGGGTTGGTGGGCCAAGCATATAAAGAAAAACTGTTTCAAAGTCCTAAACTTGGTAGCAAACTCAAATTCTCAACTATAGACATAACATTATTCACAATCTTTCTTACACTTTTGGGCTCCATTGAAGAGAGCTCTGTCTTTTGGGGTGTCACCAACTTCAATTATCTTGGCACCAGCCAAGAGCTGCATGATAAGGCCAGAGGTGACAATGGGAGAGATACCCAGCTCCATCAGTGTGCCTTGAAGAAAGAGGGAGACAAAACATAACCAGTATTAGCTTGGAAAAGCAGACCATTATTTAAAAAATGAATGAGCAAAATCTGACTGAGTACCCCTTACACGAATCCAACGTGTTTCAGTTTGCGAGCAGCATTTAATTTAGAGAACCCCAAAACATCAATGATTAGAGTATAATTCAATTCATTCTGTTCAGCCTGCCAGGCAACATCTTATTCTGTTTAGGAAGTCACATGGCGTCTAAACAGATTACTGCATTTAAATTCACCACAAACAGATTCATTCTGGTTTTACAGAGATAAGAAAGGTTCATTTCTTCATCAGTTAATAAAAAAAGGATAACATTCAAATAATTTCCAGAGTCGCGGAAAGGGGGACTATACAATTGTATCTAGTTGTGAATAAACCTCGACTTCCCATTATGTTAAAATAAGCTATACTTCTGACTGATTTGGAACTTAATTTGAACTATATTTTAAAAATGAGTTAATCAAATGCAGTATCAACATACACATTCAGAATTCTCCCCAGTCCCTGTAGGTAACTGGTTAAAGTATACAAAATACCGTTACACATTTTTTGACATATATATGTAACCTACAGATATGAAAAAGATGCAGCTGAAAAACAAATTACAAATTCTAAAGAATGTTATCAATGGAAATGTCATCATTTCAGGTATTTAAAAAGTATTCTAGTTTTTCCACTTTTTTAATTTCCTACAATGCAGACTTATCTTGTTATTACAGGTTTTGTACTGCACTCAAAACCAATTCCAAATACGATGGTATGCCTCAGTGCTGAATTCAGCATTTAATAAGGCCATTCAACATAGCACACGAACATTCTTCACTCTATTTCCCAAGCCACATATCTTCACAAATACTTTCTGAGCTCCATATAAAGCCAAGGCTTATAATTTAACTAAATGAAACCAGTCAAGTCCACATTGAACAGAGAAAAGGCAGAAAGAGCCAGAGTCCTACCTCTGTTAGAAGCTAGAATCACTCTCATCCAATAGAAAGGGTCGGCTGAATCTGAAGACATGATACCAAATAGGGGAATCTGGAACAAGCAAAGAGAAAAGGAGTCACAAACTCGTTCCCAGCCCACTCTTATCTTCTACCCCAATACAAAACATTAACCTGTGCTTACCTGGCAGCATACTAAGAAGATAAAGAGAGTGATAGCAGTCCACAGCACTTTCTCCTTAAACTGAATCTAGAATAAAAGAAAGTGAATTAGCAGCGAGTTATCGTCACAAGCAAATTAATTAAAAACGACTCTGTTCACTAGAGACGCCAGCCAAACCAGGTACCAAACGTAAGTACTAAAACCTAAGGACCATGGACCACGTGCTTTCTCTGTAAGGAGCACAGTGCAAAGCTCTTCACAGGCATCATTTCAGTTAATCCTCACACCACAGAGCATTATTATCTTGATCTTACAATGAGAAAACTGAATCTTACTTAGAAGAGCTAAGTAATTTGTCCCAAATCTCACAAGTTAAAGTGAGTCTGAATCCAAAGTTGTGCTCCCAACCACAATATTAATAGTTAAGACCCAAGATCAAAGAATGTCACAACAGAAAATGACTTGTAAAACAGACAAGTCTTTACAACACATGAGCAATCACTTTTCATTTGAAAAAGTCTGTAAGTCACAAAATCGTGCTATTCTGGAGCCAACTCATTTGGAATTTGGGATTGTTCAATATGTATTAAGGGTAAAATAATAAGCAGAATCAGGGGAGGACAGGGAGAGGTGGACATTTAACCTCCTCACTAACTACTGGTAAAATCTGTTCAAGAATTGTATAAATCTTCTCAGGAATCTAAGTTGGATGGGTGACAAGATTTATTCTACAGATGACTATTAAGTTTAGGCCACCACCTAAGGTCTCTCTCAATTGTAGTAGAGTGGGGACTATCCTGGGTCTTCCGTCTCTAAAACCTGAGTGTCTTCACTAGCATTTGTTGCCTACACTACAAGAATGGCTTTAGAGGGCTTAACAGACACATGAATTATTATTCACAGAGGATTTTGAGGTGGAAATAGCTTCTAAGAGACAGGCAGTAGTAAGTGAACAAATTGTGTTCTTTAAAAACACTTTTTAGTTTGAGAAGAGCAGGCTAAGCGAGTAGTCAGTGTCCAGGCTCTCTGGTGAGAGTCTAAAAATCACAGCCCTCTGCATATGCCATGTCACACCACAGGTAGGATGCAACACACTCACACAAAGGTGGTGTACATTCAGTGCTCAGCTCTCCATGTGAAGCTGCATGCGTCCACAGAACTCTTTCCCCATGAGATGCTCCCTTCCCATCTGTCATCTCACCAAGAAGCTCGAAGTTGGTCAGGAGAAGGCAACAGGACATTCTTTGATATTGGGTCTTAACTGATAATGGTATGGTTGGGAGCACAACTTTGGACTCAGACTCACTTTAGCTGTGGGATTTGGGACAAATTACTTGGCTCTTCTAAGCAGACTGAAATACATCTTTACAGGAAAAAGTTGGCAATTTTTTCAAGACTCATCATTTTTTAATGACCAAGTCTTGTCCCTTGGTTACAGCCAGGTTTAACGGCAAAACCTCAAAAGCTCATTATCCAAGTCCTGTCTTCTCTGCCCCTTAAATAGCCCCTAAATCCTTCTCGTTCAGTACCATAGTTCTCCCTCTACTGCGACAGTCTCTAGTACTCCCCTTTCCTTCCAAAGTGATACTCTCGTCTGGCCCCTTTTGCTCATCTTTTGCTCCCCATCTACCTCTGTAGTCTATCAATATCAAGTATATCTAACCACCTCCCAGCCATATACATTACAGCTTTGTCTCCTTTACCTTTGGAAACTATATAGTCCTTTTACCTGAAATTCCCTTCTATCCCTTCAAGGGAACTTCTATTCCTCCTTTAAAACCTCTATCAGACATCACCTCTCCCAGAGTTAATCCCTTCTTGAGCCACTGCCTTACCTTGCACATATTTCCCTTGTTCCATCTACCACACTTAGTTGGTTACAAGGTCAAGGTCACATGGCTATTAAAAGGCTGTATAAAGAGTGAGACCTCGGCTTGCCTACCTCCAGGGCCAGATCCTTTTACTATGTTGGAACTGAAGGGGGTAGAGCTCAGCAAATTAGCCCATCAAAGGCAGCACGTATGTGAAGATTATGAAACTATTTGAAGTAAAAAAATAAAAGTAGACTCCAAGAACCAAAATTGTCTGTATGTTTGCCAACTACACATAAACGTGTGAATACATTAACAATAGTCTGAAAAGAATGTAGAGACAAAAACATTTCACTATGCACTCTCTAACCTATGATCCTAATGAAATTTTTCTTTGTTGTCTGACAGTTTTACTTATACGGTATTGGCAACACTCACTCTCTCCATAGAAATTCTGATAAAAATTCAACGCAGCCTACACTTACATCTTTCCTTGTTTTAATGCACCTGCTGTGAAAAAGTAACATACTTCACAAAATGCCTTTATTCTCAGTACTGCGACAATAACATATGTAGATAATTCTCAGTATTAGCTATGTAAAAGGACAAACTTATTTGTACAGACTAAAGTGACTGCTCTTCCCTTTAGCAGTTGGATACAAAGGGCATCTCTTAGGGCAAAACCAACCCATGATCTGCCTCCCGTTGGAGACAAAGAAGGGAGAGTAACTCGACCTGGATATCCTAACTGAGACCTTATTCATTTTCGGCTCGGATCCATTTTTGGGACAGAGCAAACCGGAAGCTTTGTTCGCTGAGCAACATTCGTCAAAGATGCCCCAGATAAAGCACGAAGACTTCGGTGGAGACTCCCGCACAACCAGGCCACCTTTCACCAGCGCTCCGGAATAACACGGTACACACAACTACGCTCCAGGGGGGAGAGAAGGGAGAGTTTCCATTTGGCATGTTGGAGCCATTTTTAATTGCACTGTAAACTTCCAGCGCCCAGGCAGTTTCATGAAACCTCCTTTGTCGGCGATTTGGGGAAACTTACCTTCCTCTCTGGCTTCTGAATTTCCGGCAGGATGACACAGAAGGGCTTGATGACTTCCAGAAATTTGACTTTAATGGGAAAACAAAAGAGGAGCAGTTAGGGCACAGGAAGACCTTGCGCGACACCCAGGGAAGCCTTCGGCCCAGGACGAGTGAGAGCAGGGGACGGCGCAGGCTGGGCCTGGGGCACGTGGGGACCCCCGCGGAGGGCCGGGGGCGCGGGCCGCGTTCTGCAGGAGCCCGGGCAGGTCTGGCCGGAGGGCGTGCTACCGCTCCGGGGAGGGGAAAGGGACCTGATCCGTCACGGCAACGCGGGGCTGTCCCTGAAGAACTCACTCGCCATGGCGGCGGCTGCTGGGGCCCCGGTTCCGCTTCGGCTCCGCTTCGGGGGAGGAGACGCTGCCCGCCGCCCAACCTGCTCCGGAGCCCGGCACCGCCGCTGAGAGACACGTCAGTGCTAGCCCGGCGGCGAGCGGCACGGCGCGGCGCGGCGCGGGCGGGGCTGGGGGAGGGCCGCAGGCCGCTTCCGCTTCCTGCCACGCTCGCCCACAGGCCGTCGCACCGCTTCCGCCGAGACCACAACTACCGGCATGCAGTGGGGCTCCCGGAGGCTGTCGGGAAGATGTGCGCCGCGCTGGGCTTGCCGGGAAGGGAGCGTGCGGCGGCGTAGACTTGGTAACGCGGGAACACGCGGGTGAGGGCGTGTTACGCTTCTGGAGGCAGAGGGCGTGCGGGCTCTAGGAGCCACCGAGGCGAGCGTGAGGCACCGTGTGTGTTACGACCCTTTGGGCAGGCGGGGGCTCCAGGGGCGTCCGTGCTCTTCGAAGCATTTACAGCTCTTTGAACTTAGCAAACAGACTGGAAGCTCCTCTGAGCAAGACCTTGTCCCGGCGCCGACCGCGGCGCCCGTCCCCTCGTAGGTCTCGCCCGTGATGGGCTGAGGAGGGCGCGAGGTGGGAGGGCCGACGGAATCCCCTCACGTGCTGGGTCCTTGAGTAAGCCGGGCGCCGTGTCCTGGGGTGGGGCAAGTGGGAGGGGGTTCTGAGAGACTCGGCCGGAGAAGGGTTGGGGCAGCTCAGGAAACCGTCTGGACCGCCGGGGAGCCAGGAAGGCCTCCGAGAGGAGGGGCGTCTGGGCCAAGCCTTGATGGCTTCTTTGGGGAAGAAATGAGGCAGAGGTCCAAGTGAAGGGGCGATGGCTGCGAGCGAGGCATGGCCATGTGACTGCCCGAAATCTGGGAAGGAAGACCTGTCTGGCCGGAACAAAGGCTGGGTGATGGGTGTGGCGAGGAATCAGGTCCGGGATTGGGAGGGGTGTGGAAGTTACTTTCCAGCGTGTGCAGTCATAGCATATGCTAAGTGGAGAAACAGAAATAATTCTGTGAGCATTTAGAGGAGGAGGTGGTGGGTGCTGCTGAGGGGGTTAGGCAGGGTTTCATGGAGCTAAATCCTGACTGGACGGGATGCTTTTTTGCGATGTTAATTTAGGTGTTGTTATTTGTATTTTTCCATTCTCTCTCATTTCTAGAAGGTAGCTAGTTTATGTAAGTCCTCGCCTCAGGAATTTTGGCAAGACAGGAAGTCTTTTTTTTGGACTCCAAACCCAGTGGTGGAAAATTCATAGGACTATTGGGAACAGCCAAGTAGCTTCAATCAGTGAAGTGGTCTAGGAGTGACATCACTTGGTATCTATTCTCCTACCAAAAAAAAAAAAAGGCATTGGTTATCAAGAGCTGCTCATCTTCATTTCCAGAACCCACTGGCCATCTCTTCTAGAGTTTTGGACAGAAGCTAAAACTGACAGCCCCTGGACTAAGTTCAGCAGATAGGCCAGAACCGATATTTGGCCACTATGCACCGTGCACCACACTGATGGTTAAAATGCTAACATAATTCCATGATAAGTAATATCACAGAAATGGCAGTAAGTGCTAAAAATAGTTAGTAATATAGATTTAATGTAAGCTCATAGTTTTGTACTAATAATTGTAGGATGTTAGTACCATTGATAACAGGCCTCCTGTTGTGGCCACATCTGAGAAACAGCCATGACATAGTTTGATCTATGTCTCTGAAGAGACTGGCCAAATTGTATGGGTTTACAAAACACTAAATGCTTTAGGAGAATTGTTAGTTTAAGATACTTTTGTTGGCACCTTATAATTCTTTGGAAGATAGTAGGTATGCAGTGTTTTAATATTATACATTTATTATAAAATATTAGAAACAAATACCTTGAATGAAGAGACAAAATATGGGCACATGTTTGATACTTTTAAATATTACAGATGTGAATTTTGTTAATTTGCAGAAGAGCAAAGAAAAAATTATAATAGTAATGAATCCCAGCCTGGAACTTCTTTTGATTCTATTTAAAAATCAGCCCAAAGTAAAATTTGTGTTTTATAAAATAAATTTTATTACACAGTCTGTAGTTCTTGTGGGGAAATATGAGGCCAAATTAGGCCAACAACAATTGGGCAGATTGTACCAAGGAAGGGGGGGAGTCTCAAGGTGAGATTTCAAAGATATTACAAGAACCTTGCTGACCACAACAAGAGTTGTAAAAGCTTGTTAACCAGCTGTAAATCATTGTTGTAAACTAATCTTTAGCTGACTGCTATAAATAGGACAACAATTAACTGTATCTTAAAAAACCAAAACACTACAATCAATTAGGGTCTTACAAAACCTATCATAGTAATTTCCCTCTCACAAAACCCGACATACATCACATAAATAATTTCCCTCTTACAAAACTGTTATATACCATGTAATTTCCCTGGCACAACACAAACTTCTCAACATGGCCCAATAAAAATTCCCTCCAGCTCCCACCTTTTGACAGACAACAACCTCTTTCTCTATTACTCTGTCCACTGTTCTCTGTACGATGTATCTCTCAAATAAATCTGCCTTTCTAAAATCACAACTATCTTGGTGAATTCCTTCACCTGCGACTCTGATAGTCTCGTGATAGTCGTACACATGACAGTTTTGTAATGAAAAATAACTTGATTTTTTTTCAACCAGGAATTTGAGTTTGACTTATTGGTAGTAACAGAAATGTTCGATGCATAGGGCGCAAAAGTTCTATTGTTAAGAGATCAAAGTGCTTGGGCTCAGGCAATCCTTTCACCTTGGCCTCCCAAAGTAAAAAAATAAAAATAAATATCAAAGTGCTAAATACGTATATATTTCATCAGAATGCTGTTAAAGCTTGTGGTTCAAATGAAGAACATTTTATCAACGAAGAAAATTTAAAATGATTTCATACATTAAATACTTGAAAACTTAAAACTCAAAAATGTTATCAATGAGGTTAAAGCAATCAAGATTTAGAAGGCACTGTCAGGATTTTTAACACTATAATTTAGTTGAGCATTTTCACACAGATACTTAATAGAACTTCAAAAGGAGTAATATTAATATGAACATGCTATTGCTCTATGGACCCATTTTTTTTTTTGAGTTGGAGTCTCACTCTGTCGCCCAGACTGGAGTGCAGTAGCCGCTCCTGGCCACCGCAGCCTCGACCTGCTGGGCTCCGGCGATCCTTCCGCCTCAGCCTTCCGAGTAGCCGGAATTACAGGCATGTGCTACCACGCCCGTCTGATTTTTTGATTTATTGTAGAGATGAGGTCTTGCTGCCCAGGCGGGTCTCGAACCCACGGGCTCAGGCAATCCACTCACCTCAGCCTCCCAAAGGCTGCGGGATTACAGGCTGA